TGATTTAACTCAACACACGTCAATGATCTTTAGCCGCGTTGAATTGGGGAATAGTGGGGATGCGAGGAAGGAAGAGTAGTATAACAAAAATGCTGACCTTTTGAAAGTGGAGGCTGAGCCACCGTGTGATTCGAATCTGTGGATAAGATTGGGGTTGACAGGTGAGTAGGATCTCGTTATCGAGCCATCGGAGGGGCATCGTGACAGTGGCTAAGTCTAAAGAGATCGCCACTAAAGTCGACGGATTATCGGAATGGTGGTGTCGTGGTGTGATCGGAAGTGTCGATGTGACAGGAGACTGCGTGAGCCAACGCAGGGCTACGCAGGATTCATTGGAATGGGGTACAAAGGGCGACATGAAGCGATATCATATCGGGTATTGGCCTGTATGGTGTGGCCGATACCCGATATGGAAAAACACCAGTCCCCATATCGGGTTGGCTGAACCGATATGGGGAAATCCGAGTTTTTGGTATCGGGTTGGCGACACGAAACCAATACGATACCGACATCCGTCTCGTATTGGTTCGGGCGTTGCCCTGGATCAATCTGCGGGGTCTGTTAAGCAGAAACAAAAATCTCATGATGCATCTCGTCCCATTTGTTGCGATGTTCTGTTTTTTCGTGAAAGCATGTGGGGTACAATGAAATCACTCGAGTATATTCTTCTATAACGGTCGATGTCCTCGAGTTTCTGGCCTCTTTTTATTGGTGAAGCCCAAGTCCACTTTCACTTTCGCTGTCTCCTTTGCTTTTATTTTCTTGATTGTGTCTTGCCACCTTCAATCTCAAAATCCTCAGGCTCAGCTGATCAACTAAGCACCTCAGACTTCTCAACCATAATGCTTTTCTGGAGGCACATCACCCAGAATTTTTGGTAAGCTTTGACTGGTGGGACGGGAGTCATAGCCTCCGAGCCTTGCAAAACCGTCGACGGTTTTGATCTTGTTCACTGATGGAACAAATGTAAGGGAAGGGAAGGGAAAGCGCCAAAGTCGCGCTTGGAGTGTCATTGCTTCCTTCTAAACACCATGCATCGGAAGACTGTCAGAAAAGAGAAGACGTTGAATACAGACGCTACTATCACAGCATTTCTGTTTAACTTCAAGTTGTAGGGCTAGGCGAAGCGCGGGAATTATGGGAATATCAGACTGGGTTCTGCGAATTTAGAACAAAGGGTTGGGATAGGGTAGATGCAGGTCTAATGTGGCTGTGTTGATGCGGAGGTAATATGTATCGGAAATATCGGCGGCGAAAGTTATGATTGGCGGTAGGTATCTCGGAACTTGGGGTAACAAGGGCCGGACAAGGTTATTCAAAGAAAAATGAAGCAACAGTCTTGCTGCCGTGAAAGTAATTTCAAGGGAGCATCTATTTATCGAGACATCAACAATGGATGATGGTAAGTGGTCTCCAGAGGAGCTTCATATACCCCCATCACAGGTGGTGAACTAGTTGGCTTGAAACTTAAAAGAATTTAGTTTCAAAGTCTCGTATCAGGAACCTATAAATTTGGGAAAAAGTCATGTCAAGAGTAGTTGAGCGAGCCGGCCGAACTGCAGCAGCATCACAGGGTATAGATGTATTTTTTCAAGAAGTGGGCCAATCAAGAAGACACTGACAACCAAAGATGAGCGGAGATTTATGAGAGAAAGACATATCAGGTTTCAACATTAGTTAGTGGACGGAAATGCCAGACATGTTATAATTTGGTCGTCATTTGATAAGACAAAGAAGTGATAAAAATTATATACTGTTTAGGTATGAAAAGAAGCGAGAAGAAAAAGTGAATACAGGCCGAAGCTGTTGTGAGCCGGATGATCTCTAAGACATATATAAAATAAAGTAATAAAAAGACGTATCAACAAGTATGTACGTGAAGGCAAATCTAAAAGTGCTGATGTAATGACGAGGAATTATTGACAGAGAAGGATGAACATGGAAGTGTATCGAAGCGGGTCAAAGGTCTCGTTACAACTTGAGACCTAGAGATCTATTGGATAGAACAATAACAAACAGTTCGAGTGGGGATAGTGACAGATGATGGTGCAAGGTACGGAATGGGGTCTTGGAAAGGTTCCTTGGCGTTGCATCGATGAATGAGGTATCCGAACTGAGGGATCATTGGACTAAGTATACTACATGAAAAAGACAAATCATCAGTCAACTGGTGAAACGCAGCATGCGAGGCAAAAGGCTAGCTTACAGACTTCCAACGAGGAGGATATTCGGACTGGACTTCAGCAAGTAGTGGCTCGCGTCGGCCAACATTGGGTTTGAACGGATGTTCCGGTTTCTTGGGTGACCAAACAACAGCTTGCTCGTTTTGACTCGGATGCGGGAGATGAAATCCATGTTTGGGCTTCTGCTTCTTCACTCTCTGATTCTTCGTCACTTGTACTGTCAATCATGACCTCGGGATCAGGCGAATCGGGCGAGTCCGGTGAGAAACAGGAGACTTCATTTTCGGTTCTTGACAACACCGCATCCGGGCCAGGAATCGTGATGGATAATATGGGCCGTTTGGACATGTAACGTGGTGCGGTTTTAGCTAAGGTTGTAATTATAATTGTCGAAGATGAGGGGAGAGAAAGGTCGGTCAGCATTGCAAACAAGTTTGAACAGGAGTAGGATCGAAAGGCCAGCAGGTGCAGACAATCTTCTCAAGAGAGAAGGCTCGAGATGAGAAGAGGTACAGAAGTGGTCGACAACAATTGTAGGGAATTCCTGGAATGTGTAAAAAGAAAGAGACGAAAGGGGGAAATCATGGGCACTTGGAAAGTGTGAAAAGAAGCTCACCCGTAGATACAGTATTAATGAAGTTTTGAGGAAAGGACCTGAGCGGCAAATTGGCCATTAGAGGTTGCTTGACTTTCTTAATTTCGCAGATCAAGCGGATGGGAGAATGAGAATTATTCTACGTTTTTGTTTTGGCTATCGAAGAGGCGGTGTCGATTCAGATATGTGTATGCGTGGAGCGCGTGTTTAATTAAGGATCGTGAGTCGAAGGGTTGCGGGGCTGAGGACCAAAGAGACAGCCAAAGCGTAGGAACGGCAGCTGTGAAGTGATGGCCAAGAAAAAAAATCTATATACCAAATCTTCAAGAAAATCTATGGGAAAAGGACTGAGGCCAAGGTCTGCCTAGGTACCAGAGACTGATGATCCCGAGTGTGTCTGAATTTGATGACAAAAGGTAATGGCGCAAGAAAAGAGTGATGAAGTGATTGGCCGGTGCAAAGGAAATGGAAACGAATAAATACAATCAGCTGAGTAAGAAAGGAAGAGGTTCTACCTACACGAGCGCATGAGAAGAATATTTAAAGCTTACCGATTTCTCTTGGAGCTCTGAAAGCAGAAAGCTACCCGAGAGCTGTGGGAAAAAAGATGTATTGACAAGAAAGTCCAAGAAGTCAATTTTAACACAGAGAAAGTTGTGTACATATTGTACAGCTCAGGGTGATACAATTATCCGCAGCCATTATATTTGGAAACTGAATGGACGATGTGTGTGCATACGTACATACAATTGATGAGAATTGATAATATGGGATCTTATGGGATAACCAAAGAGGCCAAGTAAAAGGAATGTCGTGGTCGTCAGATGGAATTGCCAAGCCAAAATATATTTGATTCAAGCAGACCACGCGAGTTTAAACCAGAATTGGTTGAGGAGTTGGGGTGGGTGGGGTTCTGGGATGATATCGCGGCAGAAGACATGAGGAGATGCATGTCAGTGTTGATGCGATGATGACCATGAAGCATCAATCCAGAAGTGAGGATGTCTGACAAAGGTCCATTCAGAGACTCAACAAAAGCACTCAAGGCTTACGTGGTGGTCGGATTGGGTGGAGGGAAGGATGCAGAAAGCCGAAGGCGAAATCACTCAAAGTCTTGGTGGAGTATAAAAGGTTAAGACGGCTTAGAAAGGTCAAGAGGTGAAGCTGAAGTGGGAGGAGGAACACCAGATCAGCACGGCACTACTTCATTATAAAGGTATCTAAACTCCTACCGATGACTTGACGTTGAGAGTTGACAGCCATCCAAGATTTGATTCACAAGCTGACCACCACAATCCAAATGTCACCTATAGTCACCACCTGGTGGGATAAGTCATGGAACTGAGAGGATCGCCGTCATAATTGGTATCAGTCACTTATTTTGAAACGTGTGGTACGTAAGCTCTTCTGGTATCCAGTCCGGGATCTGATGCGTAGATTCTACACGTACATCAAGTCAAGTAAGCTACAATGTGCGTCCGCTACTTCTTGTTGCATGGTGATGCTTGATGATAGTTGATGAGAGCATCCACAGTGGTGGGGTCCAAAGCGGGGCTCCA